CGGTTTTGGCCGGAAAAATTAATAAAATACTGAACAACACTGAACAAATGGAGCCACCGCTACAGTGATTTTTCATCCCTGATGAGTAAACTAACACTCAAAAGCTGAAACTGAAAGACGCGTCTTGGTTTTAAACTGTTAAGTGTTTAGCTATTACCACGCGAAGGGTTAACTTTGTTACCTTACCTGCTTAACGTCGCACTGGCCTTCTACTCACTATTTCCAAATCATAGACTTGCTTTTCCTCAGAAAGCTCCTTCTACTCATTGAACAGTGAAGCTGCATAAAACTCGCAATAGAACAGGTTTTGTTGAGAAAATATGCGCTGCGTTCGAGGAAAAAAAACTATTGTACAATTGCTCCTCTCAATATTCAAAGAGAGTTTGATCGTTATTGGCTGACGGACTGCCCTCCATATTAAAAGGGTTCCTCTCGATTAGTAACTACAAATATATAATATTTATACAGTATTACCCAAGAAGAATTGGAAAGTACTGTGAACTATGTGAAAGTTTAGCAGGTGTACTTCGAGATAACATCACGGGTCCCTAAGTAAATATTCCTTACTCCAAAAAAAAAAAAGAAAATTAACGCCTACGTGGAAACAATAAACGCGTGATGCATAAAAATGTAAGCATACTTTATGGCCTATATCTTGGTAGAAGTCTTACTAAGAGAACCCTCATATTAACAAAACGTAAAACCCTGGGTTTGATGCTCAGAAATTTGTACTGCGTTATTCACCTTCATAAAACCAATTTGAAACAGTGGGTCAAAGCAGGGCGAAAGAGCAGGCAGAAATGATTGCCAACTCACTTTTGTAAGTTGAAAGTGACCAACCGAACAGAGATCTCAAAGTATGATCTGTCTCGGAAGGTATCCATAAGTCAAAATTATCGAAACATGCTTACTCAATAACCGAAAAAGAAAATGATTAACTTCTCTTGATCTACTGTATTCGCTTGCCAGTAAATCATTTGTAAAGCTTGCGCCAGAATAGAGTCTAGAGAATATACAGCATTTTACTTTTGTGAGCATGTTCCCTTTCCTTAAAAAAACCTTATACTTATACTTATTATACTTAATGCAGGGCAGTCGCATAAGACATGAGTGATCGTTTCCTCATCTACATCCTACTTGCAGCTTCTGCAGCATCTTCTATAGGGTGCCCCTGGTCTTTCTGCGTGGCGCCCATTCAGACAGTGGCATGTCAGAACTCCTTTAACTTTGGAAATGTTGTCTATTTTTAAGGAGTACATATCTGGTGATCTCTTCTTATCCCATTTCGGCCATGTGTGCCTGGTTTTGCGGAAGGTTGTAATGTCATTCCATCTTATAGCGGCTTTTTCATGCATGAATTCCTTGAGAAGCAGTTTGCATGTAGCAAAAGTTATACCAATGCGTTCTTTGTCTGGAGGAATCTGCTTGGGTGTACCCCATCTCGCAAGTTCATCCGCATAACAGTTTCCCTCGATATCCCTGTGACTAGGGACCCATATGAGAGACAGTCTGTTCTGTTTGGCCATCTCCTGTAGAGATCGGCTACCGTGCAGTCATAGCTGCCGACTGATGTACCACCAAATCCCGTGGCAAAATATTGAGTTTCTCATTCAGAGCCTCACTTGGCATGCTTCCAAGTGCACCACTGATGGACATTAAGGCACTTCTTGGAATTTTATCTAAGAGTTAAGCATATGAAGCTTTCTTTATAACTGGCCACAACACTATCGCACCATAAAGGAGTGTTGGTCTTACTACTGATATGTAGAGCCATCGGCCTATCTATCCTTACCTATTGTTTTGTTGCATATATAAAAGGCCGTATCAGCTCTCAGTGCTGCATTCTAGTATTTGTGGCCACAGCCAGTTATGATTTATACTTTTTTTGTTAATAAAAAATTAAATTACTGGGTTTTAACACGTCTATGAGGTGGAATATGAAACTAGCTGGAGTTTATAATTGGCGTCAGTCAGCTGGGAAGAGAAACGATTGCCCTGCTCTTGTTGATTCGGCTTCGGTGGCTACGGTGGAAAATGAGGTTTTTAATATTATATATGAGTTTGAAAACTAAAATAAAACTGATTAAGAACTCATTCCAACATCTAAGATCATCCATAAATATTTACCACAATTCCACCAATAGATAGCGGGGGAGCTATGGTAAATGAAAACTTAGAATCCTTTCAAGTGAAGTTTAAAAGTTTGCATCTTAAACTGTGCAATAACGGATATTTATTCTTAGAGTTGAATATATAGAAAAACCGAAATTAACGTATTGCCCAAGGATTCATAACATTTTTGGTTAATCCTTGAGAGATATTGATAAATAAATTCGTTAGTTTTCAAACTCTCGAGTCTACAACGTATAATTGTTCGTGAGAAAAGCACGGATTTTATAAAACTAATCCACAACTCATCATTGCTTGACCTTATGCCTAACAAATAGTCATCGCAAATGCCAAGCGCATTGGGAATCGTGATCGTTTAAATGACATCGGTGAATCTGAAGGAATAATTTGAATCCGATGTACAACTTCACCTTGAGATCTACCACTCAAGCCAGTGGCTGTAAGAATGTTGCACACAATTTTTTTTAATCAATTGCAATGCATTCAAAATGCGAAGCAAAATGATAGGTGAGCCAATCTTTAATCGCAAGTTATGCGGTGGCATTCGCAGTAAGTTCAGTGAATTCAAAAATTCTACAGGACAGTTGGCGCATTTCATTCGCATTATGAGAGCGCCGGATTGCTTGGTTTTACGCGCAGACGTGACATTTTTTTGTAGAAATAAAATACACTACACTCAATGTACTCATGGGCAGTACTTGAAAATTTATTGTAATCATAATTTAATTTCTTAATTTTGTATATTCACAATTTCCAGTACAGTAAGTAATATCCGCAAGGAGAAAGTAATGGATATACCAAAAATTAACAAATATTTTCAGTCGAACTGTTTTTTGTAAATCTTCATTCAGATATGCATCGCATAAAGTAGCTCGGAAGTTTGAATGTTTAGACACTATACACCATACACACGAAGTCTATAGTCTCCATAGTTTAGACTTTACTTACGCTAACTTAGAATCGGATCTCAGCGCCATCTACTAGCCGCCACTGAAGCTGAAATATACTTTTGAATAACAGACACGACTGCAGCGCAATCTTCGGGATGCTATGCTAAACGTTCTAACATCAACAACAATTTATAAATAAATAAATTCATTGATAAGACATTATTTACATAAATTTAAACCATTCCCAAACCCCCGTGAATACACAAAAAAAAAATTCATCAGTATCGGTAGAGCCGTTAAGAGGAAGTTATTCTTTGAAATATCGATTTTTTTAAGTGTTTAGGCATTTTTAATATCGCACAATACGTTCGAAAAACAAAAATCGCATGTAATTTATTTTGAGTTTGGCTTTAAGGGGAAATCAATATTGGGTACTGTGCTTTTATGAAAGCTTTCATAAGGTCAAATATTCCATACAAATTACAAGCGTGCGATTTAATTTAAATAGGGTTTGAATAACTTTTTGCTTGAACTTTTTGAAATTGTGGTATTTTCACGAAGATCTCTTATTTGATTTTGAGGTTATATTTTGCGATATCCGTTATCTTATGACTTTGAGCCTTAATTTTTTTTATGTTTACCCAAAAAGTATACCAATATATATTATTAGGGTATTAGAGCCTTTTCAGCTTCAGTTTTCACAATCTAAAAATTCCTATTTGGCAGCTTTTTGTGAATTTGAGCTTCCATTTTTCCCAAAATTCAAGTTACTCTTTTACTGTAGTTCAGCCCCAAAATGGTGTACTCATCTTTGCTCTGTTGATTCTCACTCACCTCAACTCACCTCAATTCACTCAAGTAAGGCTCATCGCGCTTATTTCTCGCGAGATTGTAATCCTACAGAGTTTTTTCTATTTTTTTTTTGAGGAAAACAATGATTATCTTTGCTGTAAAGACAAACAAAGAAAACCAATAAATCATTTTCTTGGCCTATGTTGCCAACTTTTGAGCCTGCCACAGTGTATATGTATGTACATATGTACATATTTACTTGCGTTAATATGTTTGTTGTTGTGTTACGAATGTTCATTGTATTGCGAATTGTGGCGCGCAACAAATCTGCATATCAATGTTTCTGTCAAAATGTGAAATTTCCATTTGAATTGATAAACTGAGATTTTGTAGCGCAACAATAACAACAGCAACAACATTCAGAATAGCAGAAGCATAGGCAGGATTTTCTTACTTTCTTTTCTCCATTTGCTGCCTGTGAGTAGCTTTTGTTCTTCACTTCTATCATATACATACATACACGTATTCTCTAGATTTAGCTATATATCTTTATATTTTTTTTTGTAACTTTTGCATAAATTTCGAAGCAGATCGAAGAACTTTGGATTTTATTTGCGGCTTAACGTAAAGTGTGTGGTGACTGCGGCAGAGGAGGGAGGGAAAGAACTTCAGTTAGGTTGGAGAGAGACAGAAAGAGAGAGAGGGAGCGTGAGAAAGAGAGGGTAAGGTAAGAGATATAAGCACTGCTGATAGGCAAACATAAGCGCAATGTCTGTATGTATTTTGTATGCTCTTTGTTTTTGTAGTCGGTTGGTGGGATTTGCGGCCTAATCTGATATTGATACGCTTCGGAAACGAGACTACGAATTATAAATGAAATTCGTAAGAGATTTGAATTCTTATTTACTTTGGCGCCAATTTTTATTTTATTCTATTTTATTTTTCTAAAATCAGAAATTATTGACTGAAATAAATTGCAAATTCAAGTAAATTTTAAGTTACTTTAAACAGGGTTTTTTTTTATTATAATTTATTGTTTTTAAACAAATAGTTTTAGCAAAATTTTAGCGATTACTTTCTAATATAAATAGTATTGAAATTGTGGATTTTCGAATAAATTAAAAAAAAAATCATATAAATATGCATGTAAGTGTTCTGTAAATATATGTATATATATTAGGAACTTACATTGCACTTTCAGTGTTAGACTGGAGCTACGCGTCTCTCCCTCCGTATTTGCCGCGCCACAAGCGTAAGCGCCAGCACTCTCACGCGCCAGTTGGGTCAAATGGAGAATCTCAGAGCTCTCGCCAGACATACGCATACCCTGTAATGAGTAAAGAAGGGAAATTTTGAAATTAAGTAAATTTGTGATAGTAAAAAGCACAGAAATTCAAAATTACATTTGTACATTAAACTCAAAAATATATACCAAGCTATAAATATAGACCAAAAATGATATTTTTAATAATAAAAATTCATCAAGTAGTCATTTTCGAAAAAAAAAATGTAAAAATCTGACATTTGAAAAATCAGTGGTTTGAAAATACTAAAACTTAGCTGTGATTTTTATTTTGTTTTATTCGTACTATTTTATGCAAATTCGTTTTGAAGCTTTCGGCGCTAGATTTTAGCTGTTTTAGGGGCAAATATCGAAATGATTTTGATATTGAAAAATCTTTTGTTTAAAAACTTTAACTTATGGTTATAATCACTTTCATTGATTTTCACACTCATCTTTAGTTTAGACTTAACTGGAAGCATAAATACATACACTTTCATGCTTATAGCTTTTAAATTAAAAAAGTTTTGAATAAAAAACCGATTTTTTAATAAAAATTTGCATGACAGATATTTCGTATACGCTTCAGATTTTTTTTATTCTTTTTGTATGCATACTTATTTGCGATACATACTAAAAATATTGATTTCACAATTCGCGCTGCTCAGTTAAAAAGTTATGACACAAAATCGCGTTTTTGAAGTAACATTTATATGGCAATTCAGTGTTAAAGGAATACCATCATAGTGATTTTCACTGCAAACTAAACACTACTAATATGGAAATGAAATATGAAATTACAAGTCACTAGCAAATTTTTACGCAAAGTTATGAGTCAAAATAGTGTTTTTGAAAAACTAGTTGTATGGGCACTACAAGTTATACTCGACCGATTTGAATGCTTTTCACGCGCAGCTATCTATAACAGAAAATGAGTGAATATATTTAGTATCATGCCTCCAGCTACTCAATTAAATGCGTAGTTAGCCAAAAACCAATTTTTGAACAAACATTTAAATGGCAGCCATTTTGTGAAACACTCAAATTGTGTTGACGTGCACAGCGTACGTTGTCATTTATGATATATACACGGAATACCAAAAACACATACTGCGCTGCTTAGTTAAAAAAAGTTATTCAACAGAAAAGTGTTTTTGAACAATCATTTTTATGACAACTCTTTACATGGTTAGTTCAATATTGTTAATTCTCACTGTGTACTGTCAATTACTAAGGTATAAACGAAATATAAAATTCCATGTCGTTAGCGGTACATTTCGAGACGTTAAGTGAAAAATCGTGTTTTCGATAAATGTGCTGAAAGTTAGCCTTTAGTTTTAGTTGTTGTAACCAAATGATATTTCTTTCTCCGTGTATTGAAAAGCAATTTTTCAATTTTTAGCACATTTTTCATGAATTCATTTCATTTCGGTTGTTAAAAATTTAACTCTTATTATTATAATACCGTTAAATGTATGCGTAAGGTATGAAGTAGTGAAAATGGAATACTTTAACTACTTGCAATAATTACAACAAAAGGCATGCCAATTCTCACAATTTTTCTCAATTACTTTCTTTCATTACTTCAGTGTACGCACGAGAAAGCGCGTACAATCAATAAGAAAATTACCGCCACAATCATTTATTGTATTGCAAATGCGCACCGTAAAGCAAACGGATCGTAATAAAAACACCAAATTAAATGCGAACTGGCAAGTTGATGAAAGCGATAAAATGTATTTGGGCCTCATTAAACATTAAAGCCGACCGTTGATTCAAAATTGAGCGCTTTTGTTAAACGCTTACGGTCGGCCTAATTGTGCGCGCTTCCGCAAAGGCTGTCTACTGGTGCTTACCGCTTACCTTCCTGCCTGATCATGAAAGCGCCTGCGGTCGAGCTGGTACTTGATAACCTTCCGCGCTCAGCCGCTTGAAAGCTTCATATAATTTCCTACTCAATTAAGTTTCATCCGACTCAAGTTCTTTTCTTTCCTTTTGCTTTATTATATTTTTACTTTATTTCAAAAAAAAAAAGGGAAGAAAGAAAAAACTGTCGTATCCACTTTATCGAATTACTCGTTTCTCATAACATCTTTTCTTGCCTCGCTTCAACGATTAAATTGCTCGCTTCTCGGCGTGTTTCTGCAGTTATTATCCATCATCTATTTTTATTTATTATTATTTTTTTATGTTTCTCTTGTTGTTGTTGTTGTTGACTTACTTTGCAATAGCAATAGCTTATGCAAACATGTATTGTTGTAGTGGAAAATACAATTTAAATGAAAAATTTTATTTATTTTATTATTTATGTAAAGCATAATGTTTATTAAATGACGCATCAAATATGAATTGACAATATATAATAACGGTTAATATTGCTTCCGCCTTATCAATTTACATCTTCGCATTTTTGCTTTTAATACTCTTTTTATAACGTTGCAGAGGAGCCGCCACTGGCTTTATATCCACTTGGCGTGGGTATAAAGCGACATAAATTATAACGTTTTTAATAATATCGGTTATTTTTGTATATACAAAAGCACATATATATATATATACAATATTTAAGGACTAAACGTAGAAAAGAGAATTAAATTTTCAAACGGACTTATACGCGTACGTCAGTTGTACGAAAGACCAAATGGGAAGACAAAAAAAAAAAATTACAAAAATAAAAATAAAATAATTGATACTGAAATTATAACTTGGAGTAATTTTAAAGGAGTTACTGCCTTGAAACCACATTTTAAAGAGCGTTAGTACTCAAACATTTTCGGCGCACTTAAGGTAATATTCTGGAAATTCCAGCCTTCTTTCAAAAGTTTTATATGGAACATTGTATGTGAGAAAAATAAAATTAAATCCATTTCCTTTTGTAATATATTATTAATAGTACCTCTGGGAGTTCAAAAAAAATTATTATGATTTTTTTTTTAAATTTTTTGTTTTATAGCAATGAAGTAAAATCTTAAAAAACCAAAAAAAAGCAAGTGGAAGGCCTCGATGATTTGGTCGTTTAAGGACACCTCAAATAGTGCAATCAAAAACACCACCGGACTGCGAGCTTTTCATAATAGTTTGAACTAGGATTAAACAATTTCGTTGGAAAAAGGAAGGAAAAAATATTGACATCAAAAAAAGTGATATTTTTAACAAGAAATCAGGCGTTAGTCTCCAAACGGGCGCGCGATGTCTCAAAGACCGCGCTAAATATGTTTTCGCTCATAAATATATTGTTGAGTTGTGTTATTTTATTTCGAAATTGCTTGTTATCTGAGTCTGAGCACAATAATAATATATATTTATATGCAAAAAAAAATAAACACTTATTAGTTAGTTAGTGTTTTCTCCTCTGATATATCACATAGATTTTTCGATTAAGCGGAAAGTTATCGATAAAAGGAATGTTCGAGTTCTTACCAGAGCTTTTGATGTGCATAATAATGTATAATAACATGTTCGAATTTCAGCACTATCGGACAGATAGACATTTTTTTCATCGTCCGCGCCGTAGTTGGTTGAAACATTGTTTCGAGAAAAGCGCGTATAGGGGGTAATAACTTCGGCAATATTGTCGATTTTGGAGTGAAGATTATAGTCACAGCTTGGAGCGGTTTATGGGCTGTCGGCATCATTGGGCGGTACTTCTTCAAAGATGATACAAATCGTTACGTAACTGTGAATGGTGAGCGCTACCGTCAGATAATATCAAACTTTTTCTTGCCCAAAATGCAAGAGCTTGACTTGAATGACATGCGGGTTCAACAAGACAGTGACACATGCCACACAACCCGCAATGGACTTATTGAGAGGCGAGGTTCGGTGAGGATTTGATTTCACGTGCGGGACCGGTCAATTGGCCGCCTAGATCGTGCGTTTTAACGCCTTTAGACGGAGGCGCAGTCACGGTCAATATTTGCATGAAATAATCTTCAAGCATTTAATTATATGTATCCTACTGTCGGCTAAAATAAAGAACTCATACCTTTTTCAGAATTTTTTGGGTTTTTTCTTTGAAAAACTTTCCTAGAGCTCTTAAAAAATCACTATTTAGTACTTTTGAAAATGTGTAAATTTCTGCAAACCAAGTTACCAGGCAGAGGGTGGAAGAAGCTACAGTAGAATATTATAAGCAAAATGGCCAAACTAAATTAAAACTCTTTGATTCAAGAAAAGGCTCAAGAGTTCAAGAACCAGATGCAATGAAAAAAAAGAATCGCAAGCGTGAATTTTCTGATTGAAACTCTATAAAAAAAATGCCATTTTATTTTGGCTCAAAAGGGGACAAATTTCCTGCTGTAAGCATCTAGTTGGCAGAAGAAACATAAATTATGTCGAAAAAATGCTTAGTAACTCAGCGAGAAGATCTGCAGCTTTTATTATAATTTGTATCCTTTAATTACTCGTTATTCGCAGTGAAAAGTTTTAAGAACGGAAATAATATTGGGTACTAGGTAGCAGTTCGATTTGCTTCGTAATCAGGATAATCAAACAAATAGTTATGCTTTGTTAAAGATTTTATTGCCATTAAAATAAATAACTCTAAAATTTTCAACTTTCGTTGGGTCAGCTACTTGATTAAAATTCACAACTCCATACCTAACTTAAAATTGAAATTCCTTCTTCACACACTCAACCGAAAAGGTAGAGAACACGTAAACTGTGCAACTCTTATTACTAAATGATGAAATGCTCAAAATTGGAAGCATTTTTAATATCAGAACGGAATAACGTCGCATTCGAAAATAATTATTGCACGACTTGTTTGCCAAACTCGTACATGAAAATTATTGCGCCCCGATACCCAGAAGATGTCACACCCCAACTGGAAAATTTTATAGAAAAGTTCTGTAGCCCTAATAGACAGGGCAGCCGACTCAGTACACTCGTGAACTCAGAGGAATAATAATATCGAATCCTCTTATGGCGGTATCATTCTCCATGCATTACAAAAAATTAAAAAAAAATCTCTAATAGTACAAGGCTCCAAGCAATTTCTGTAGTCCCTCGTATACAAAAGTTCATTTGACTACCCACAACAGCGA